GTTACAGTCGTCGTCGTGCCGTTCCGTGCACTGCTCGAGAATCTGCTGGCAAAGGCAAGAGCGAGAGGTATCGACAGCATCGAGTGGAGGAGTGCGGCGACCCGTCGTGCTACATTGGTGTTCGTCAGTGCAGACAACGTCGCTGGCACCGGCTTCATCGGACACTTGAAGCAGTGGGAGCAGAAGGGTGTATTACGACGAGTGTTCTTAGACGAGGCACATCTCGCATTCAAGGACAATCACTGGCGAGCAAAGCTAGCCGGGCTACATCAGCTTAGAGGCACTCGATGTCCGCTGGTAATGCTCACTGCGACGCTACCGAAAACACTCGTGCCGGAACTAGAGCACTGCATGGCAGCGCAATACGCTCGATACATCCGCTGCTTAACGATCCGAGCGCGCACTCGATACATCGTCGAAGAGGTGAAGCGAGGGACGCTCCGCGAGCGGGTCTTGGATCTGTGCCGTCGTATACAGGTGCAGCTGGGTCAGAACCGCGGCGTGGTGTACTGTAAAAGCCGTGCCGAGTGCGAGGAGCTAGCGAGAGAGTTGGGAGTGATATATTTTAGGGGGCAAGAGGCCGACAACCCGGAGCGGCTGGAGCACTGGCTCAAACAGAACGGCTTGATCGTGGCGACGTCTGCGCTCGGGACAGGCGTGGACTTTGAGCGGATCGTGTTCACGCTGCACGTCGACATCCCGTATGGCATGGTCGATTACGCACAGGAGTCAGGCCGAGGGGGGAGGGCTGGTGAGGACGTGGATTCGCTCTTGATCTACGAGCAGGGTGGCGCAGACCGGGCATACAAGCGAGCACGCAACTGCGACGAGCGTGCGATTGCGAATTTCGTCAGGACGCAGGGCTGTCGTCGCAAGGTCAAAGGCTTATATCTGGACGGAGAAGAGGTATCGTGTGGTCAAGGAGATCTCGCGCGGTGCGACAACTGCGGAGAAGGCGTGACTGCGCTCGAACGACGGTATAAGCAGGAGGCACATGAGCGCCGGTTGTTTGAAGAGACGATGGACAGCTTAGTGGACTTTTGCGCCGCTTGTTGGGTGGGTAACAGCTCAGACAGCGACAGTTGGGAGCATTCGGCAAAGGACTGCGCGATGGCTCATCCGGCTGCTGAGGTGGATGCGTTTCGAGGTCAGCTCCGCTTCGACAAGGACACACATAGCTGCTACAAATGTGGCATCAGTCAGAGGCTATGCCGGACAGGAGAAGACTCGAAGCAGGTATGTCAGTGGCCGGGCCGAGTGGCGCCGTTGCTATACGCACTTGTTCAGAGCGAGAATCGACTACATACGCTATATAACGCTGGATACGACGAGGACAGCTTGGATGTAGCTGCATGTGTGCAGTGGCTCGGTCGACGACACCCGCGTCGGGTCTGGAACGAGGTCGTCAGCAACGGAATGGCAGTGCTAGTCCGAGCAATTGTCGAAGCACACGCAGTCGAGCCGAGTCAAGTGAGTCAGGCGGTATTGAGTAGAACGGGTAGTCCGGAGGTGGGAGAGCTCCCGAGCAGTCCGCCGCTGCAGGCGTCTACAAGACTGATAGACGTCGAGGAAGAGGCAGCTTTCGCAAGTGAGGGCGACGGGCTTATCGAGTTGCTTAGTGACTGGGCTGATCAGGGGGACGGTAGCGTAGAGCACGACGGGCTAGGCTTCGTTGGAGCGGATATCGAGGAGGCATGTCAGTCGGAGCTCAAAGAGATGGATGCAAGCAGTGAGGCAGGTGAAGAGGTGGATCACAGAGCCGATATTGCTATAGAGTCGACATCGGTCGCGTTGCAGCCGCGAAGAGATAGCAGTGTCGAGTACGGGGAGTTGCAGCCCGAGCAGTTCAAGGGTTTGTTGCAGGCGTGGCGGGGTCAGTGCAGTATTTGTCTCGTTCGAGGGTTGGACGGCCGGCGACATCCGTGGAGAAGCTGCAGTTATGTCGAGGCGCGAGGGGGCATGGACTCACGGCGATCATTACTAGGGCAGGTGCGATACCGCTACAGTGCATGTTTCCAATGTCATGCGCCGCAGGCACTATGCGATATGTGGCAGGGGCAGCGCATCGGTAGGCAGTGGAGGTTCAAGCGCGTACACGGAGCGCAGTGTCAGTTCGAGGACGTGGTGAAGGACATGGGAGCAGCGATTTGGGCAGTACGAGGAGGGGAAATTCAGGGATGGATTGCACAGCAGGCAGACGGGCCGGCGGCGCTCAGGACAGGCGAAAAGGGTGTTTTGGAGTGGTTTGGCGGGCAGTTTATAGCCGGTGGGATCGAGGTGTCGGGGTTGTGTCGGTTTTTATGGCAGTTTGGGCCGCGAGGGTCGGTTAGCGAGGCAGTCGAGAGCTCGTGTAAGTTTTAGATAGGCCGCTCAATGAGGATTCGGACGAAGTCGAGCAAAAGAAGCACGGAAGCACGATAGCGACAGGGTTAGGGTTAGGCGAAGATGGGGGACAGTTGAAGAGTAGGTTTGGGATACCCGACGGAGCTGAGCGGATCGGGAAGGAGCAAATGCATAAATGAATCCGCGAGACGTCGGGCGGGTGGGTGGGCACTTGAGGTGTCACCGCCCCCGCCGGGGGATGGCATACGAGTTGGAGTAAGAGCGTGGCAAGGTCGAGGCAATAGCAGCGTAAATATGAGCAATACACACGTAAGAACGGACATAGATTGGAATGAAGCGTATATGGAGAGTACGAGAGGATGTGTGGGTGGGTTGGACGTGCATTAGAGATGGGATGAAGTTGAAGTAAAGTTTGAAGTTTAAAAATAATCGGAAATTCGAGAGGAAAATCATTAGACCCGAACGCGCGGTCCGATCAGGGTAAGAAGTTGATACAATTAAGAAGCATATCGAAGGATGTTCATGTTCGTTTTTTGTGAATTTAGGAGGCGTTTTGAAATTTTGGTAAATTTGGGAGTATAGGACAAATTTAGTTAGAGACGTCGTAGATACGAGGAAGGTAGGGAAGACGAGATAACCCGTTAAATTCGAGGAGGAAATAAACGAAGGGGTAAGAGGATAGAATATAGAAATAAGATACGTTATTCGAATAAAAGGAAGTATAGTAGTCGGGTTAATAGTTAGGGTCGAATAGTACGGTAAGCCGGGGTAAAATTCGATATACGATAAAGCGATATTTAATAAAATAGAAAATCGAGTACGACGAAGAGATATAGTAAAGGTTATTCGTATCCGTTCGTAAGGACGATTAGAGGTATAGCCGAATTTTAGAGAATTTACGAAAATAGTAGAGTTTTATTAGGGTAGGCGATATAATATATAGTAGCGTAAGGGATTTATATTACGTATAGTAATTTATATAGTATTATAGAGTATTATATAGGGGGCTTAGACGAATAGAAGTAGTAGTATATAAAATATATACTAGGATAGAGGGTTAGGGATAGTCGAAGGGGTAGGGTTAGAGATATCCGAAAATAGATAGAATAAAAGATACGCGTCGTATCGCGAACGTAAATAAAGGACGGCGGTAATAGGATAGAATAGAGGGGCGAAGTAAATAGGTAGAACCCGTTAGGCGTAATAGGAGGTACGATAATACGGTACGCGAGAGAGGCGAGAGGGGCGAGAGTAATTAGATCCCGTTAAATTTATAAACGACGAAAGGTATAGAGAGAGAATAGATAGGGTATAAAAAATAGATACCCGGGGTAACGCGGAGTATAAAAAGGAGTAATAGGGTATAGGAAGAAAAAATACCCGTTAGGAGTAAAAAGGGTAAAACGGTAGTAGGATTAGAATACCCGTTTAGAGCGGAGCGATACGTAGAAGGGACGATAATAAGTACGGGCGGTTAGCCGGCGTAGGGTAAAATATAGGGTAAAGTTTAAAATACCCGTTAGGAGCGGAGCGATATATATTATCGTAAATAGAATAGGTATAGGTAGTTAGCTTGTAGGTAGGGTATAAAAAATAGACACCCGTAGCCGCGCGGAGCGCGATAGGGAAAAGAGACGCCCGTAAGGAACAAAGAGCGCAAGAAGGAGAGATTTTATACCTCGAAAACGCTCTTGGACCCTAGGGTTAGGCCTAGGTATTTCCGGGAAATAGGTACTATCCCTAGGGACAGACAGAATTTTCTCGGTTTTCGGCGCTGTCCCTAGGGACAGTCAAATTTTCTGGGTTTTTAGGGCTGTCCCCAGGGACAGTCAAGTGTTCTAGGTTTTCGGCGCTGTCCCTAGGGACAGTCAAATTTTCTGGGGTTTCAGCGCTGTCCCTAGGGACAGTCAAGTGTTCTATGTTTTCGACGCTGTCCCTAGGGACAGTCAAGTGTTCTGGGTTTTCGACGCTGTCCCCAGGGACAGAGAATATTCCTGCAAATCGAGATCGACACGAGATGGATCAACTGGTTGTAGGGCGTTCCGGTCGTATCAACAATGCTAGCAGATAATTTACTTACACCGGAAAAGTAAAGAGTAGGGCTACAGTTAGGGAAGCGTCAGGTGAAAAGCCAATCTGTGGGCTCCAGTCGCTATTACAGCAGAGGGGATGCGCACAAGTGTGTTGCCAAAATTGGCAGAATAGACTCAGATTATGCTGTCCCTGGGGACAGCCCCTTAATTTCGGAAAATGAACTCCGCCCAACGTGGATCGCCGCTTTGCACCACCCACCTTCCACTATATCGCTCTCAGGATGTCGCTCTCCTCCTCGCGCCTTATCATTATTTCGAGACGCAGCTTCACCATGCTATCCAAGAGGCTGGCTCAATCCGGTAAAGGCCATGGCAGCGTTGGCAAAAAGGTCAGACTCGCAGATGGTGCACTATTGGAGACCAAGTCAATCGAAGAACGAGCCGAATCTTTTCGACTAATGACCGTGCGGTTTCCCATCGACGATACCACTCCCGAATGGAGCACAGGCTGCAACCGGGATGTTGATGAGAAACACGCCAAACAGCTATGTCAACTGTTCGAGGAATATGGGCTGGACCGACTCGACCGTGCACACCGTCTCTGCCTGTTGTGTAGCGCGCAAGATGTACGAGCCATGTGCCAACGTCTCGACATTGATTGCAGGCCAAACGACCCTGGCGCACCTCTGCCGTCCTTCATGGGATGGAGTAGCGCAACCGCCGGCCACGCCGAGGTATTGGCGGGAAATCATCGCATCGCAGCCCTTAAAGCATACTTGAAGAAGCAGAAGCTCACCAATGGCGAAGACGAGCGATGGTGGGTATGCAATATCTTTGACAGAGGTGTGTGTCTAGATGAAACGCCAGGCCGTGAGAACTAATTTGTTGAAGACACTTTACCTCTTGAGCTGCAAATCGAACTCCGTGCCAATCGAAGCGGAACAGTCCTACCAGACACACACGGTCAGATCTGGACAGAGCTTCGCACATATGCTGAACAGGATAAAAGCAGTACGATGTTCAGCGGGGCAAGGGGAGCCATCGAGGCGCAGATGAGCCGAACGCTGAGGTTGAACACCCGCGAGCAATTCCCGGTTCGTCGTCTGGCGATCCTCTGGAAGAATGACCGCTGGCGGACATTTATCACTCAGATTTGCAGTAGGAGAGCCGGGAAAGAACTGTTCAATATAAGCGTATTCCAAAAGCTGTCAAGTTACCGCATTGACGACTACCTGTTCGAGCGGATCGAATCCATCACGCGACCGATCGATATAATCTGGAACGAGTTTGGCATCGAGCTTGAGCTGGATAGAGACTATACTCGACTCTCTGGGCTGCACCGACGGTGGAAGCCACGGGAGCTCTTTTATCCCCAAAGCCACGACGACCTTGATATCAACGAAGACAGTCCCCGGCACTCGCAGTTTCTATCGCACGTTGACCACTCAAAGTATCATGCGCTCTATCGGTATCTGGTCGAGTCTGGGAGTGAACTCTCCTTCCCTATGGCCCACGAGTTGCTGAAATCGCTGAGTTCTCGTGGTAAGACGATGCAGGCTGTCATGACGCACGTCGTTATGTGGCTCAACAACGACCTTGCGACCGTCAACGACCGAGAGGGTAACAAGCCACCTCTTGTTGAGGAAGTTCTCCCGACTATGTCGGGCATGCTCGAGACGGCGGTTGGAAAGGATCCTGGTCCGGCTGCCAAGATGAAGGTGCTGGAGCTGCAGCGAAGAGTCCTAATGTTCGTCGAGAAGAATGCTGCAGCCTTCACGGAAGACGACCTTTCTGCTCTCCCGGAGGATGACGTGGAGCCGGACGCATATCAGGATAGATTCCGGCGAGAGGGTTGGAAAGATGTTCTGGCTCGAGTGCGGGAGGTTATCGGGGATCGCCTTCGAAATCCTTGCGTGTCGGGCCTCAATACCGAACTCATTAAACAACAGCTGCAGCCAGAAAAGCCAAGCCTTGCAGAAAGTCTGCAAAATGTCATTACTCAACACTCCGAAATTGTCCGTGATCCCAAGCTGGAGAGACCAGAAGCGAAAGAGGCGCTGCGAGCTATGATGGAGAAGACCGTAGATCAGTGGAAGCAAGAGTATGGGCAGTGTGGAAACGGACTCCGAGCACAAGAGAAAGACAGAGAACCGATCGTCAATACGTCGGAGCTTGCTCGCTTCCGAGACTCTTCCTTCTTTGGAACGTCTTCTTTCGGCGACGAAAATGGTCGCAGTCGAGGGTCAGAAACTGCTAGGGACTCACTCAGTACGCCCACTGAGGCGGCTCGGCATGGGCGTACGAGATGGAGCCTCTTTGTGGAGTCCAGCGAGTCCGAGAGTAACCATGAGCCGCCCCGAGCTCCTGTAGCCCGTATGGGCCCGTTGAGCCCACGCACGAAAAGCCATGGGTCTACTACGCAGCCGTACGGTCAGGGGCAGCCCAGCACGACGGCATGCTCTTTGGGTGAAGACAACGACCAGGCTGAGCCTGAACTGCCACCGGCCCGAAATCGCAGCACGGACGAGGCAATTACGGGGCCGGCAAGCCTCCGCCCTCAGCGCAGGGAAGCCGCATTCGTGAATGAACGCAAGGAAAGGCTCCCGAAAGCACGTACTTCTGCTGCAACGCTTCCGACTGGCCGCTCATCGAAGCCTCCTAGCAAGGGCCAACAGAAGGGCGGATGGAGGAGCCGCCCGTTTGCTCGCGGCTAGGATATGAGCTGCCCAATCGGTCTCGAGGTTGGATAGGGGTAGATGAGACAGCCAAATATAGCTAGTCAGGAGTAATGGTCGAGCATGTCGGATTCGGCACAGAAGGGTATGTAGAAGATAAGGCTTAGGCCCAAGGTCTGATCGTTCCAGCCTACTACGAGCAGTCGTCTGTATCACTACGAATATGTCCGAAGACGAGGACTTTCATTCTATTTCTCCCCATCCTAGCCCTGCGCGATCCGACGATGAGCTCAGTGGCGATGGGTTCGATGCGCACGAAGAGGCAAGCTCAGTCGTTGAAGACGCCATCTATGGAACCACGAGCCAGGATGCCAATGCTGGCGGTGAGACCAGCGTAGACTCGTTCCGCATCGATCACACCCGAGGCGAGCATCGATTACCAATGAACGCCTTCCTTCGTCGCACCGCAGCTACCGACCTGAGTCCTACACAAGCCATCAGCTGGCTCCAGCACAAGTACACATTCGATTTCGGTAGTCGAACAGCAGGTTCACGGCAGTGTACAGCAGATGATATACTCATCCCTACCTTCTACCTCGATATGATCGCTCTCGTCGGTCGGCCGCTGAGACCCATTGTGCATCGGAGCGACCGGTTCTTTGACAACGTAACCATCAGCTTCCAGAAGTGGGCCGCACCCTACCGAGCGAAACATGTCGAGGGAGGAATCGGCTTCGATCTGCGACACCGCACTTTTCGGATAGCATCTGGTTCGACACGAGAATCTTGGTTCATTGTGATGCATCCTGGGCTAGCCATTTCAGATATTGACCAATCGCGGGCAGATGCCGAAGCCTCGATTAGAAATAGTGCACTCGAGGAGAGACACGCCCGGTTCCTGGTGGAGTACATCAAGCATGTATTTCTATGCGAAGAGTTGGTCGGGGAGGGTATTGAAGCCGCATGGCGCCTGGGACAGTCCCGAAGCGACAACATCACCTTCAACAAGTGGGCCATATTCCAGCATGAGTTCATGGCAGGTTGGTCCGAGTATGTAGCTTCGCAAACAGCCGATCCGTTTTGGACAGAGAACCGACCCGCCTTCCATGCATACGACTATGGTGCCAACATCATGCTCGATGTCACCCAGCAGATAGCAGACCTCGACAAAGAGGAGCCCATGCAGAACACGATGGACGATTATCTGAGCGATGGCGAACAAGTCATTGCACCTGATTCCTCCGCCCCCGACCAAACAGTTGACGTCGACGTCGATAGTCCTCTCTACCCCGACGGGCTCCGCGACCTTCGAACGGAGCTCGAGGCTAAGTTCGACCTCGAAAACATCTGGTCCATGTCGTACGCTTTAGCCGTGGATTTAGGCTGTCTCGACGGCGAGATGGCGGACGTGGAGGCTATAGATCGCCCAGCTCGCTGCATGCTCGGCAACCGCAATGCCATAATGCAGGAGTTCTCCCGCCAGCGTGACTGGACGTTCTATCCGATTGCTTTCAGCCCTGTGTACGGCAACTTCACCTCAAATCAGCCTCCTGAATTTCTGAAGCAGAACGTACTTACGGTGATGCGCAACAACCTCAGCGTACGCAATGAAGGAGTCGACGCACTATCTTGTGGATACTTCCAGGCATACACCAACATTAAACGTTCCGTCCGTCATCGGCCAGAGGACCTTTTGGTGAAGAAAAGTCTGACGACGGCGGTGTTGTCCTTGCCAGGGGCGGAAATGACCTCGCATCATATCCGAACGAAGCACCGGAAGCTCGAAGCGCAGATGAAAGGCATGCGGACACCGGAGGACAGCGACCAGTCGCGCCCCTTCGCTCGAGAGGCACAACGAGTGCGGGCCGCCATCGAGGGAGAAGATTTCGCCTTTCGCATGGAGCAGGTCGTGAATATGCAGGTATCCAAGCTCTGCGACGAACGCCGGACATTCGCGACCATTCTCCATCCCATTATGCAGCTCATGCGCTTCTATTTAAAGGAGCCGCATCAATACCGCCACATTTTACACACCTTTAAACCGGAGGTGTATCCTGGGGTTCTACGCGGCTTCAGCTCACTGTTCGATAAGGCCATGGTTGGTCTGCAAGAGAAGAGCCAGCTCATCAAACCGGACACATGCAATGTCGCCATCGCCGAGGCTGCAGCCGCGTTTGATCGCCTGGGAAGCTACCTTTTCACGGGGAATGCCAAAGTGGTGGGCAACAGCGTCTTTCGGCATCTCGGCACCACGGACTCGTTGCGCTATGGCGGATGGCCGTACGTCGACCCCGGCGTTCTGAATGTGGAAGACGAGAGGGCCTCGATAAATAAGGCTCGGTGGCCACGACGTAAGGACGGACAGCCGGCGCTCTTGCACCCAGCCATCCTTGAATTCCATTACGGCAAGCACATCGGAGCTACCCGTCAGAGCAACGTCTGGCTGCACGACTTTCGAGGCATGGAAGTGGCCGGCCGAAACAACGCGAGCAATCTCGTGGTCGACATATTTAGACACATGTGGGCGCCGCAGACGATGGAGTTCATTAGGCGAGCAGTGGAACGGCTGTCGAAGAAGTGGTTGCGTACATCTGACACCACACGCAGTGATGAGGCGCTTCGGAAGCTCGACGTCTGGCTACTGACCGAGCGCCCATTTTCGTGGTCGGCGTACAGTGAAATGATGCCTATTCTGTCGAGCGAGACCAGTGATGAGGTTGAGTCAGCTAAATCACGACGGGACGTCGCCAAAGAGCTCTACGAAGCGGCCAAAGAGAACTCAGACAAGATGCGACGGCGATGGACGACCCAAGAGGCATCATGGCTCTCTGTGCTCAGTAGCGCCATCTGTGCGACGGACACTAAAGTGGTCAGCGAGGAGCAATGGGTCGGAGCGATTTCGTCCGCGATGTTGGAATGTAGTCTCGAAGCAATGCCAGCGGCATCGCGCGGGAAGCTTAGCAGTGGTGTTGTGGTCCGACTGGTGGGAATGGCACCATCGAAAGCAATGTTGGCCACCCGTCCTGGTACGCTGAAACGTGCGGCGGTCGAGGCGAACGAAAAGGCCAAACGGCCACGACTGCAGCAGAGAGTTGATTTCAGGTGCGAGATCCCTTTCGTGCGCATCCCGAAGCTCATTGATGAAGGACTGCGAGTGCAGGACAAGCTGTTTGAAGGAGGGGACCAGCGGGTGCGGGAGCATTACTGTGCAGTACGACACTGCCTAGATGGCTGCCTTGGAGATCCTTTGTGCGACATGATGCTGATGCTCTCCCTAACGCTAGCGTCCTGCTCCATAACACCAGCCGCGAGCGACGACGGATTCCAGGTCGGTAAGAGGAAGGATCCAAAGGTCTTTGTCGTCAACCTTGTCACCCGGATGCTGTGGTTCCTGAAGCCACAAGACTTCCCATGGACAAAAGAGGAGGGTCGGGGAATTATGTCGGTACCGGAGATGACCAAGAAAATTGGTGAGATCAACATTTGACATGGGAGAGCCGAGAGACTGACAATCGTAATGCAGAGCACAAAGGAGCAAATAACCGACTTCTACTACAAATGGGCTGGGTACGAACTGTCCGGGGGAACCGTACGAACCCTCGAAATTCGGAACTTCGGTTGACGGATCGGTCACTGCTGATGGAGGCCTACCGAGAGCTGTTTCGCGCCCAGTCTATATCGGAAAAACAGTCTTAAGGCCTTGGGTTAGGGTTGAAACTTGTCCCTAGGGACAAAGATAACCGGCCACAGAAAGCTGTCCCCAGGGACAACAGTCATTTTTGAGTTTCAAACATTGTCCCTGGGGACAGCACATTCTAGGCATGCAACTGCTGTCCCTAGGGACAACAGTTATCTTTGAGTTTCGAGCACTGTCCCCAGGGACAGCACATTCAAGGGCATATAACTATTGTCCCTGGGGACAGGCTAGTCATGCTCTACTAGTGACACGTACTCAGAAAGTAAATGCACTTGACGTTGAATTCGTCTGGACTGGGTATGATATCGAATCACGACGAGGCAGAGTCTGTTAGTGCCGTAACCTCGTACATAACATGCTTGAATCAGCCAATTGTGAGGTGTCTATTTAGTGATGTCCAACCGGGCCGCCTTTCCGATGCATTTGCAGAAGCCTATATCAGGTGTGTGATAACCGTGCATCATGCAGCTGACCAATAGAAGCACACGAGGCATGTGGCGGCAAGTTGCGCACCTGTTCACCGGTCCGACAAGCTTCTCAGGACTGCGAAATGTCACTAGACACAAAAGCAGTGCAGAGTGACACATGACAGGCAAGCCAATTTCCGGAGCACATACTCCATCATCCACCGTTTACTGACACGAATACCATGTCTTTACATCCCGACACAGCCTCTAGAAATCAAAGCATCTGGAAGGGTATTGATCGCGATATACTCGAGCATCGTACACAGAAGCTCTGCAACAATAAGCACGTCGGGGCCCGTCGTCCTTGTGCTAGTACTCTGCCAAGTGGTCGCGACACTCTATACCCAATGTCGCTAGAAGTGGAAAGGAGTTTAGCAGACGATTTTGCTTACATCGCTGCTTCACAGCCTCGGGTCGGGTCCGTCTCGGCTGTGGCAGTAGAGCAGCAGAAAACCGCTGCGTCACTCATCATGACGTTCGCTGCAAATGAGGGTGTATCGGATGAGGTCGCAGAGACTCTCAACAAGATCATGGAAACACTTCGGAGACACGCGGGAAAAGGTAACTACACGTGTTCCTCGCATAT